TCGCGGAAATTTCGAAGTGGAAAGATTGAGCTCAAGTGGAACAGGAGATCGGGAATGGCTGAAGGCAATCCACCACCTGGCTTATAAACTTATTTAATGACTTATGTGCACATTGTGACTTTAGACAACATTGAAAGTATTTATTGCTTTTATAGCCCGTAAATATTATTTTGATATTTAAATCTTTTCCCCATAAGAATTCTTAATTCTAAAAATGAAACGCATAGGGCTGTTTTTTATTTTATTTATTTATAGCTACATTTTATTTCGTTATATTTGTGTATCCTGCATCTGTAAGCACCTTTCCCATCCGTTGGATAGACCTGTCGGTGGAGACGAATGCTGGAGGTTGCAGGATTTGATTGATGGGAGATTTTTTCATTTGAATGTTGTGAGTGTAATCAATAAAGTGTCATTGGTACTTTTACTTACAATGTTGCACTATATGTTTTCATTTTCTTTTCACATGAGTCATGATTTCCAAGAAAATACAGAATACCAGAAATCTGCGGTCTACATTTTATGTGATGTACCTGCTTATATCTGAAATCCTGTGAGTGAAACCTTAAAAAATTGGTGTTTTGCAGTATTTTTACGTTATCATTCTATGAGATATTTTTGTTGTGTGTTTGTTTGGTTTAGGTATGTCTCTGTTTTGGTTACATTATTTGAGGATAAGAGGACCTCTTGGTATACCTGAGCGTAAAAAAGGGTAATATCTCCCCTTTTTCGTATTTCACATACTTTTTGGTGGTTTAATATATTTGCACTGTGAATTCTAAATTTAGTGAATGACCCTGTAAATTTGAATCCACACAGTGAATTGAAGTGCAGCAGAACTGGAAAACACAGAAAATAAAAATATACCCATGTTGGCGCTCAGTACATGATTGCTATTTCTTCACATAATCTTCATCTCGTGTACAGGTAAGAAGATAAACTTATAACATCTAGCGTACCAGAAATAAAATGTGATTCCATTTACATTGAATAGAAGTAAATTTTTCAAAAATGTAATAACTTCAGTGAATTATTGAAATGCTTCAGTGCTTGTTTAAACAATCCACCAGGATCAGCTACTGACAGGCGATGAATGTGAAATCCTGAGAATTCTATCACCTGGTACCTATATCCTTTTACACACATATTTTACTAACTGATTAGAAACTAGGCTCGTATAGATCATTCGTGAAAGCATTGTTCTTGTGTGGGGCTATGTGGAAGGAACGTACAGTAATGGGTAAAAGAAAGGACACCCTCTTTGAATTCTATGGTTTTACATATTATTATTATTATTATTTATTATTATTATCATCACCATTTATATAGCGCCAACAGATTCCGTAGCGCTTTACAATATTATGAGAAGGGGATGTAACTATAAATATGACAATTACAAGAAAACTTACAGGAACGATAGGTTGAAGAGGACCCTGCTTAAACGAGCTTACAGTCTATAGGAGGTGGCGTATAAAACACATTAGGACAGGAAATATCAATCAAATAGGTGGGAGTGAAGCAGAGCTGGAGGAGAGAGTAAAGCACTGCCCTATGGGAGATAATAACAAACATCTGTTCCTTTGCAGGTCTTACAATTAGGGACATACAACATCAGATGAACAACAACACATGACATATTTCAGTGAATCATCTTATGATTCAATAGCTTGCAGAACCAGCAACAATAAATCGAAGTAATAATTTTTTTGTATGACTTAATCAGTCTTACACATCGTTATAGAGTAATTTTCGCCCACTCTTCTTTCCAATGTTGCTTGAGTTTTTTGAGATTTGCTGACATTTGTTTATTCACAACTCTCTTAAGGTCCCACCACAGCTTTTCAGTTGGATTAAGGTCTGGACTTTGACTGGGCCATTGCAACACCTTGATTCTTTTCTTTTTCGGCCATTCTGTTGTAGATTTGCTGGGGTGCTTGGGATCATTGTTCTGATGCATGACCCAATTTCAGATAAGCTGTAGCTGTTGGACAGGTGGCCTCACATTTGACTCTAGAATACTTAAGAGGGGTTCATGGTCGATGCAATGCCTGAAACATTTCAGGGTCCTCTCACTGCAAAACAAGCACAAACAATCACCCCTTCACCACTGTGCTTGACAATTGGTATGAGGTGTTTGTGCTGATATTTTGTATTTGGTTTCCACCAAACATGGCACTGGGCGGTATGACCAAATAACTCCACTTTGGTCTCTTCTGTTCAAACGACATTGTTCCAGAAGTCTTGTGGTTTTCTTCAGATGCAACTTTGCAAACCTGTGTCGTGTTGCCATGTTCTTTTTAAAGAAAATAGGCTTCCTCCTGGCAACCCTTCCAAACAAACCATACATGTTCAGTTTATTCTAATTGTATTGTCATGCACTTTAACATTCAACATGATAACTGAGGCCTGTAGAGTCTGAGATGTAACTCTTGGTATTTTTGCAATTTCCCTGATATCTGCACTGTTGACAAACACGTTATTGAATTCAAAAAAATATCTGCTTTGTTCCTACAAACCAATATGATGTTATGAAATAAATAAAATGTTTTTGCTTAATCCAATACGTCCAGACATACGTTAAAAAAACAGATACACGTTTAGCTTCCTGAAGTGTACCACACTCTGGGACATACCAATTAAAACATGTTTTCTCAAAGTACACACATCCAGTTATCAGCAGAAATAATCCAACTTAGATCCAAGTTATAAGTCCATACAAAACAAATATAGTTCCTTGATTCTGGGAACAAACAACTGCAAATGCATCTTGACTGAAATTAGACTGTCAGAGCAGGAAAAAGTTAAAAAAAGAAAGAAAAACTAAAAAATGGTGAATAAAAGAATTGAGAAACAAATTTGATGTATCTCACCTGGAAACCAGGGCTGTTCCTAGACTGAGCATTCCGGCTGTGCCTTATCTTTTAAATTACTATAGGGCAGTGGCACCCAATTAATTTTTCCCAAGGAAACCCTTTTGACATAGTGTACCAACATCGTGGAAGCCTCCAAAAAAATGTAGCATAAAGTTTTAATGACACTTCTTTAACATGGAAATTACAGAATTCACTAGTAGAAAGGATGATGGTTTTTTTTGTATTCTTTATTTTTGTTTCAAGCCATAGACATGAATAAGAACTGTGGTACAGTGCTGTTAAAGACATTCAGTTAGTTAGTAGCACCATACAAATATACCATATAGCACAGAAATAAGGTGTCGCTAATCTTTGGATTGAGTTTTATGTTGTAGGAGAATGGCAGTCGAATATATTTATGTCCCACTAGGGAATTCTTTGCTAAATTGGTGCACTCCGGATGCTCTGCTCCTAGTGGGGGGTATGTCTATAATTACCCCTGGTTGGGGTCTACGGTGATGAGGACTATCTGGGTGAGGGGCATCACCAGGACATCACCCCCCCCCCCCATCCTCCATCCATTCTCTGATAGGTAAATCTAGAGCCTTACAGGTAACCAATCAGGTATGGCTCAAGGCTCACGGTTTACTCATCTGAGCTCTCTTATTGGTTGGCTTAAATCAACCATTCAGAGCGCTTTGAGTCAAATTGCAGGGCATGGAAAGGCTTTATAAGCCTTTACCTGCCTTGCATAGCTCATCCTGTGTGTTTTTTTCATTGGGGATGTTTAAATAAGTGGAACAGTGAAATGACCAAAAAACTTTCACAGTGTTAAAAACAGTGTTTAGGTGACGAGACCCAAATAAAGCTGGAATAGCTAGGTGTTGCTTATAGTTATAGATCAGCAGGTGTCACCAGCATAGGACTCTCATCACATGTATAGGAAAAAACAGAAATACAGATAATAGTATAGACTGTATTAACATATAGCTTCGCAGTATTTATGTTTTAGAGCTCAACACAAGTGAGCCTAATGAAGTATCAGCATGATATATATATGCTAATTAAGATAAATACACTGTATAAAATCATAAAGTGCAATATCAGCATTGCATTTTAAAATAAAACAAAAATGGAAAACAAGAATCACACTGTCTCTTACAAGATAAAGTTGTGAGTACATTCGGCACACGCCGTTACTCACTGCCCCGCTTGGTAAATAAAGTGCATCCAGTTAGGGGTCCGGCTGATGCCTCAAGGTAGCATATTATTATTGTGCAGTGGATCACCTCCAGCCATTTTCAGACGGTGTTCTCAGATCTCGGCCCCCGCGTATGACGTCCACGCGTTTCACTGGGCGCTGCCGGCTTCCTCAGGACGTAGTGCTGCTCCCTCCATCTTGGGAGAGGGTATTTATGAGCATAGTAATCCTTATTCAACTGTTTTGATTTGTGTGCTCGTCAATGCCTCATTTGTTGAAATGAGCATACACCTGGATGTTCGGGTTCGCCGGGTTCGGCCGTACGTCGGCAAAAGTTTGAGTTCGGACTCGAACTTGACCCGAACCTGACCCTGAACCCGAACCCCATTGAAGTCAATGGGGACCTGAACTTTTGGGCACTAAAATGGCTTTAAAAAGTCCTGGAAAGGGCTAGAGGGCTGCAAAAGGAAGTAAAATGGGGGTAAATGTAGGACAAGTTCCCTGCAAACAATTGGGGTAGCCCCCAAAATACTGGGACATATAAAAAAGAAAACAAAGAATAAGTGCACTTGAGTATAACAATGGCTGGGTGAGGCCGGTATAAATGTCTATTCAGAACAAGGTACAGACAAGTCTGGTGGGATCCATGCCTGGTTCATTTTAATAAATGTGAGCTTGTCCACGTTGGCTGTGGACAGGCGGTTGCGCTTGTCTGTGATAACGCCCCCTGCTGTGTTAAACACATGTTCAGACAATACACTGGCTGCAGGGCAGGCCAGCACCTCCAAGGCATAAACGACAAGCTCAGGCCATGTGCCCAATTTGGAGACCCAGAAGTTGAATGGGGCGGTGCCTCTTCCTCCTCCTCTGTCTATGCCATGTGCTTCCACTGAGCCCCTGGTGTCAATTGGGAATCCCCACAGCAGCGCGTCTACCAGCGTGTACTTGTAGTTGTGCATCTTCCGATCACGCTTCAGTGAGGGAATTAAGGACGGCACATTGTCCTTGTAACAGGGATCCAGCAGGGTGGCCAACCAGTAATCAGCACAAGGTAGAATGTGGGCAACTCGGCAGTCGTTGCACAGGCACTTTGGTGACTCTAGATAACCTCGGGCCGATCGCACGTCCCTGTGACGGCGATGACGCATTCGGATGTCTGCCCTATCAACTTTCGATGGTACTTTCTGCTCCTACCATGGTGACCATGGGTAACGGGGAATCTTGTAATCAGAATGAGTACACTTTAAATACTTTAACGAGGATCTATTGGAGGGCAAGTCTGGTGCAGAGCGACTAATCCGTGCGTGCTGCAGCTGAAACTCCACTATCGCCTGCTGCTGCTCGCGCAGTCTCTTCAGCATGTGCAAGGTGGAGTTCCACCTTGTGGGCACGTCGCAAATGAGGCGGTGAGCAGAAAGCCAAAGTTACACTGCAGCGCAGACAGGTGAGCAGCAGCAGGGTGAGAACGCCGAAAAGTGCGTACAGACGGCCCACACTTTCTTCAGCAGCTCTGATATATCTAGGTAGTTTTTCAGGAATTTCTACACCACCAAATTCAGCACATGCCCAGGCAAGGGATGTGCGTCAAACCAGCTAGGCCCAGAGCTGCTACGAGATTTTGTCCATTCTCACACACCACCAGGCCGGGTTTGAGGCTCGGTGGCAACAACCACTCATCGGTCTGTTGTTCCATGCCCGTCCACAGCTCCTGCACGGTGTGGGGTTTTTCCCCCAACATATGAGTTTTAAAACAGCCTGCAGTCATTTCCCCCTGGCTGTGCTGAAGTTGGTGGTGAAGGTGTTACTCTGACCTGATGAGGAGGTGGTAGAGGAGGAGGAAGCGGAGTAGGAGGCAACAGGAGGCAGATCCCTGCAATCCTCAGTGGCAGAAGAACATGCGCCAAACTGCTATCTGCCTCAGGCCCAGCCACCACTACATTTGCCCAGTGTGCAGTTACTGGTCCACATATCAGTGGTTATGTGGACCTTGCCACAGATGGCGTTGCGCAGTGCACACCTAATTTTGTCCGCCAATTGGTTGTGCAGGGAAGGGATGGCTCATCTGGAAAAGTAGTGGCAGTTGGGAACCACGTACTGTGGGACAGCCACCGCCATCAGGTTTTTAAAACCGTCCGTCTCCACCAGGCCACAAATGTTCTATTTAGCACAAAAAAGTGTGATTTTTTAAACCAACAATGTAACAGTAGTATTTAAGGGTTTTATTGGACTGCAAGAAATGCACCACAGACCGCAAATGTACTATGTAGCACCAAATAAAATTTGAATTTTTCAAAGTGCGATGTCACAGCAGTATTTGATGGTTCTATTTGACTCTCAGATATGAAGTACATGCCCCAAATTTACTTTCTGGCACCAAAGAATTGTGCATTTTTCAAAGTGCGATGTAACCACAGTATTTGACGGTTCTATTTGACTGCGTGCATGCCACAAATGTACTTTTATCACACAAAAAAATGTGGATAAGTTAAACTGCAATGTCACAGCAGTATTTGACGGTTCTATTTGACTCTCAGATATGAAGTGCCACGCAGGCAGCAAATGTACTATTTAGCACCAAAGAAATGTGAATTTTTCAAAATGCAATGTGTGACAGACCCATCTGTATGGACTAAGATTGCTGGATTCGTCTGTTTGCTTGTTTCACGAACTCACCCATTCTTATGCCTAGTTCTAAGGGAATTGACTTTTCTACCGAACAAAACTGCCGAACGGACGGCCACCCAGAAGAGAAGTGTGCTGCTGGTTAACCTATTGATCCCCATTAGAACGTTGCGGTTAACCACAGACACTTCTCAATTAAAACCGAATACAGGGTGGTCGTCATTCGTATGTCGACCACGAGGCGGCGGCCATTTTAAACCATGCGAAAGACCAGCAGTGTTCGGCACTAAATTCATGGAACTGAAAACGGACACTTTTTCAACCGAACACTGCTGAAGCCATCGACCTCCCTTCTCAATCGACAGAAGTGTGCGAAGACCGGCCGTTCGGGAGATATAAAGGCACGAATGGACTTACCCCAGATAGCCTTCCCATGGAGTCAATCGCGTACCGAAGAACTGTAATAGACTTTGACTTCATGGCGATTGAACTATGCGTATGGGATCTGAGCGCTATTCGCTAATAATATGCACTCAGATCCAGGCTATCTGGGGATGTGTTACACGAATGAGAAATGTTCGGCAGTTATAAAGTTATGTATTTTTATGTGTTTTATGATTTGCATTTAAAATGGCGATTTGCCTCTGCTCTGGGAGATAATTGAATTACTTCTCAATTATCTCCCGGGCAGAGGGGAGGAAACTGTGATGTATGCTGGGAATATTGTGTGACTGTATGTCCTGAGATGCCATATGTCCATCTGCTATTCCAGTCTCCCATTTGGTCCCCTAGGGGAGTGTCCACCAAGTGGGAGACCTGCATAAATACGGGCGGGTAGCCCACAGTAAACTCAGTTCGTGTTTTACCCTCAATGCGGAGCTTGGTCTCGTTATTGGGGGGATTTTATTAGAAAAAGTATGTAAACCATTTCTGCACAAATTGGTAATAAAATGTGATCTGATCATCATCTAAGTCACAACAATAGACAATCACAGTCTGCTTAAACTAACAACACACAAAGAATGAAATGTTGCCGTGTTTTTATTGAACACACCATGTAAACATTCACAGTGCAGTTGGAAATGATTAATGGTTTGTACTAGCCCTGAATATATTTGTATAATGTTATCATATGCCCTCAGCGGCACTGTTTTTCCAAACTAAAGAGATTTAATTTTTTAATCTTTGTAACTAAAATGCTCCATTCAATTGATCAATTTTGTTGCTCGTCTCTGCGCTTTTTCAAGTGCCATGATAGCCTTCTTTAGAACAAGTGCCCAAAATTGCACAGCATACTCAATGTGTGGTCTTACCAGCAATTTCTAAAGAGGCAAAATTATATTTTCATCCTGAGAATTTATGCCCCTATTTATATATGACAAAACCTTACTGGCTTTAGCAACTGCAGATTGACATTGCATATTGCTGCCTAATTTGTTGTCTATAACAATTCCCAAATCCTCCTCCTGTGTGGTTATCCCTAATTCACTACCATTTAGGGTGTAAGTTGCTTGTACATTCTTGACCCCGAAGTGCATAACTTTGCATTTCTCTATGTTAAATTGAATCTGCCATTTTAGTGCCCAGTCCCCCAATCTATCCAAATCCCTCTCCAGCAAATCAATATCCTGCTCACATTTTATTACTTTACAAAGTTTTGTGTCATCTGCAAACACTAAAACATGGATTTCAATGCCTATTTCAAGATCATTTATAAATATGTTATATAGAAGCAGCCCCAAAACAGAACGCTGAGGGACACCACTTTTGTCCAGCCTGAAAATTTACCATTAATTACAACTCGTTGTACTCTATCCTTGAGCCAATGTTCTACCCAAGAAGAAGAATAATCATCTAGACCAATTTCTTTTAGTTTGAAGACTAACCTATTGTGAGGAACCGTATCAAATACCTTGGCAAAATCAAAGTAGATCACATCTACTGCAACACCTTGATCTATACTTCTACTTACTTCTTTATAGAATGCAATTAGGTTAGTTTGATATGATCTGTGTTTCATAAAACCATGCTGATTATTGCTAATAACAAAGTTCTTCCCAATGAATTCCCGAATATTATCCCTAAGTAGCCCTTAAAATA